CACTCTTTGATTTATAGTCATAAGTAGGGTTTACACTGTGCTTAATTTTCCTTTACAACTAATATTAGGTAAAAATTCCTCTTCAAGAAAACTAGAAAGTTTCACGGGTGAAATGATATAAAATTCATTGCTAGTTGACACAAATATAATATTTTACGGATCAATGAAAAATGCGTAATTTTCAATTTTCGAGACGTCCCAACAGGCCTTGAAGGGGGGAAATATTTCGTTATTTGCAGCACGACTGGAAAATTGTTTTCAACCAAACCGAGACTGTTTTTATTTTATGTTTGGTAAAGCCTTCCAGTTGCCAGAGTTTTAGCGAAGATCATGTTTGAAATGAAATTTGAGCGGGCAATTTTTACAGAGACAGCCTCTTAAATAACAAGTCAAAATATAATTATTCTTACCTGTGAGATCTGAATAACATTTTACGAACTTTTCCATGGCTTTTCCATCGTTTGGGTTTGAAATTTTCTTCACCATGTAAGACATGTAAATGTGCTTTCAAATTTTTAGCACAAAAATTTGAAACAACGCTATCCCATGACACTTTGCGCTCTGACCACTGATCTAAAATAAGACTGGATAACGCATCTATAGTATACAAAAGTGAAGCCGGAAGTCACCGGCCGCCACCCGATTCTGGGGCCCCTCTTATGTATGGATTTGTATTACAGATGGTGGTTTTTCGAGTTTTTTGCCTTGGCTACATTTCCGACCGGGCCAATTTTACAATCATAAAGATAGAAGCATACAAGAAGAATTTTGAGCAAAAAATTTGGAGTATTATGGTTTTATAACGCTGCGAAACGGGATTTATAACTCTGAAGGAGTGGAGAGCCTCAGACTTTGTTTATCAACACGAGCTCGTTTTGCTACTTTCATACAAAATCAACTCAAAACATTCAGGAATTACTGTGACTGGACGAATATTCTCAGGAAATTTGAAGAAATGAAGCAGCTACATTGTGAACAAAAGCGTACTGAGGTTTAAATAGTTTTAAAATACCTTGACTCTTGAGGCTACACTTTTATAATATTTATATGAATTTATAAGGAACAGTTTTAAATATCAATTTTGTCAAGAGCATTCCTCAGTGCCTTGTCGAGAAGTTTTATATGTTTTAAAGTAGAAAGACAAGTGACAATCAAATATTTTTAATCCAAATTAATCCTGTTCTTTAAAACGTTGCATTTTGCATGTGCCGAATGCATTCAAAACAATGGATAATGAGGCATTTCAGCTGATTATCTAATGTTTTGAATGCATTCGGCGCATTTAAAATGCGACGTTTAGAACAGGCCTTATAAACAATGACTCAATATAATGTTATTTTAATTCATATAATTATAAAAGTAGCCTCAAGGTATTTTAAAACTAACCTCTGTACGCTTTCGTTCACAATGTAGCTGCTTCATTTCTTCAAATTTCCTGAGCATATTCGTCCAGTAACAGTAAATCTTGTATATTTTGAGTTGATTTTGTATGAAAGTAGCAAAACGAGCTTGTGGTTGACAAACAAAGTCTGAGGCTCTCCACAAAGTCTGAGTCTGGGGGGCCCCAGAATCGGGTGGCGGCCGGTGACTTCCGGCTTCACTTTTGTATATTATAGATGCATCATCCAGTCTTACTTCAGATCAGTGACTCTGACACTTAAACTGGGCACCAGGCCTCCACGCAATGCATGAACTATTGCTTCAGTTGTCATGTATTAAATATAGTTTCTCTACGAATATAAGGAATATTTACAAATGTTTTCAATCAGTTACTGACTGTTAATTAATTTATTGATAATAAATTCTCGGAAAATGAAAATTCTCTTCAATGATTTAATAAAACATGGAAAGAACTCAACCTTAGAAATTAAATTAGAATGTAGTTATATGGTGTCAGAGATGATGGAAAGGGGGTGGGGCAAGGTCTGCTTTCCTAAAGGGGGCAAATGCAGCATTTTAATATAAATAAAACACAATATTTTTGTCCCAAATTTACTTTAATAACAAATTAATTGACAAAGATAAATATGATAGAAGATAATTTGTATATTTAATTACCTATTTCCCAAAGTCCTGGGTCTAGTCGCACAAATCCCTTGTTGAAGGGACAAGCAGCACACGTTTAAATTAAAGTATAAAACTCTTTCATTACTGGTCAAAAACACCATAAATTGAGTGGACCTCTCTCTCGGCTTATTTCTCAACAAGTATCCACAACTACAAAACAAACAAGCTATACCCCTTTTTAAAGCTTATTGAATAAGCTATCAAAATTTTATTTCACTTTTGAAAAAAAACCGGTACATTTTGAAATAAATTTGCATAATTTAGCATAAATTATAAAATGTGTCTTCAAACGTTAGACATGAACTTATCTATGTTCCACATATTGCAATGTATACTAAAAATTTAAATGCACAAAGTTGTACTTATTTATTAGCAACATGTCCAGCAAGTATGGCTGAAAAGGAATAAAAAGAAAAAAGTTACAGCTGTTTGAATAACCCTTCTCGAAACTGTCAAAATGTAGTAAAAACGATAGTACACATAGATGTGTCTTGTTTTGAAATGTATGTAGGAAAATATTAGTATGCATAGAGTATTTTGTCCATGATACATTATATATATTCCTGCACTTTGATTTTTGTGCTTCTGGATCTCCACACACCACTCACTTATATATTGGATCTGGATCTCCACATACCACCCACTTATATATGATCCACTTTTTTTTTGTTTATTTTCCTTTTTTGTATATGTTATCATTATTTATAGCTTATTGAATAAGCTATCAAAATTTTATTTCACTTTTGAAAAAAAAACAGTACATTTTGAAATAAATTTGCATAATTTAGCATAAATTATAAAATGTGTCTTCAAACGTTAGACATGAACTTATCTATGTTCCACATATTGCACAATGTATAGTAAAAATTTAAATGCACAAAGTTGTACTTATTTATTAGCAACATGTCCAGCAAGTATGGCTGAAAAGGAATAAAAAGAAAAAAGTTACGGCTGTTTGAATAACCCTTCTCGAAACTGTCAAAATGTAGTAAAAACGATAGTACACATAGACGTGTCTTGTTTTGAAATGTATGCAGGAAAATATTAGTATGCATAGAATATTTTGTCCATGATACATTATATATATATTCCCGCACTTTGATTTTTGTGCTTCTGGATCTCCACACACCACTCACTTATATATTGGATCTGGATCTCCACATACCACCCACTTATATATAATCCACTTTTTTTTTGTTTATTTTCCTTTTTTGTATATGTTATCATTATTTATTTTACAGTTGAAGGATTTTGTACATTGAAATTACTGAGGGTGAATTTAAATACTTTTATTAGACCTAAGCAGGAACAGCTGTGAAAAAATGCGACTACAGGTCCCCGGCGGGAATCAAACCTGGGGCTCTTCGATTCCGCTGTATTGGAATCGCAGGAGCAAGTTTCACTCCTGGACCTATAGTTGCATTTTTTGTGGCTGTTCCTGGTTAGGTCTAATAAATGTATGTAAATTTACCAAGAATCATTTCCATCTACAAAATACTTCAACTGTTATTCAATCGAGTGGGATGCTAACAAAATCTTTGATATCATTATTTATATTAGATCATGTATATGTTAATTATTCATGATATGCACTATTATGCCATTCCAAAAAACAATTTCTCTCCCTAGTTACATGTAGATACTTACCACACTGTGGGGCACTACAATATGTGTGCACCTTGAACTCACCTCTACCCTGCTTGTAGCAAACTGCACACCGTCTCCTAAAATCTGTGAACTGTGGCACATGAATAGAATCCAACAGACTGGTGGGAATAGGGAGAGTTGGCCTCCTTACAGCTACAGGGGGGTTCGCATACTCAGAGACCCACAAATTTGCCTGATAACCTCCTCCCTAAAATTACGGACCGTGTACCCGGGGGGTCTTGAATGAAACCGTTTACAATAGCAATATCAATGAGATGGAAGAACAAGGTTTTCCATCATCACAAGCACTTACGCATAACATTATTAGTACCTATGAGTTGATCCGAACAATCAACCCCATTCATATACTTCTGTTACCTATCAATGGCCTTGTGTTGGTCAACTATTACATTAGTCCATACATTACCTGTCTTAGGGGCTGTTTCTATGAGGCGAGCCAGCTCAGGTACCTGAGCTAGCTCGCTTTAGGCGGGATCCCGTCTTTGTTAATATTTCCTACTAAATTTCATGTTGCGTTTACATGAGAACCGAGCTGCCCCGCCTAAACGGGCTGGGTAGTTTTCCATATAAACGCATTTACCTGAGCTGGCTCGGCTTTTAAGTAAAATAATGTCTTTGTGCGCATGCTCAAAATCCAAATGCACGTATTCATTTTCAAGATGGCGGAAGAACAAGTTTCTTCGTGCAAAGTGTCGGCAAAAAAAGCTTCAAAAGCGCGTGGAAAAACCAAAACCGAAGCAATTTCGTTGGGAAACAGGAATGGTGGAAAACTTGATAAAATGCCTTCAAGCTTATAAGAGTGAAATGGAATACAAAAATGTTGATTTCGATGGCGATCGACCAGCTCAGTACACATGGGTCAGACAAGAAATGGCAAAGTTGTATGATGAAGATACCTCAATATTTGGACCTGTATTTCTCTCCCCTCCAAATATACCATTTTCGACCATGAGCAAGGAAGAAAAAGAAGAATATACAAAGCAAAATCAGGCCGAAAATGAACTGACCAAGAAGGGATATTCACAAATCAGGGAAAAGATTAAAGATATAAGACAAAACTTTTCTCAGGCGGAAAAATCGTATTCGAGTTCTACGATGAATTAGCTGTAATCTGGGGAGGTTCAGCTGCCACTAAGCAGCCCCTTGAATTTGGTGTGATATCGGATAACTTCCAGGGCGCAGAGCAGGAGAGTGAGATCAATACCCTCGTGAATTCAGTAGAAGATGACAACGTAACCAAACAGACAACTTTAAATGAGCATGACATGGCAGATCTTGACCTCGATATTGACCAGCCTGATGATAATATACATGATGTCATCAAAGCAGCTGAAGTGGCCCAAAAAAGAAAAATTAGTAACCAAATCCCACACCTCATTGACAATAAGCGAAAGCACCTAGAGAAGGCTCTCTCAGCTGCGCAGCGAGATAAGCTGTTACTAAACGAGGCAAAAGAGGATTCTACATTTCGCAAAAATTTGGCAGAAGCAACACGGCAGTCGACAGAATCTTTTGCAATTACATTAAAGGATGTGAGCACTTCCATCATGAATGTTGGAAATGGAATTTCTCGATCTATGGAAATGATGTCGCAAGCTATTATGGCTCAGGTAATGTCCAATTCTCAGCTTCGGGGGCCATTTAATCAAATCTCTTTTACCAACATGGTGAAATATCACATCCACCCGCAGTATTTCAAACCCACAATGGTATGTACCCTCATAACCCACCATGTCCAAGTAATAGCAACATTGAACCAAACAATGAATAAACAGCTTGTTTCTATTTACATCTTACAATTTAGGTAATATAGAGCAGCAGACTGCTGCATATATTTGAGTTTGGAATGTTAAATTGATATTGTTAGGGTTTCTATTAATAACATCTGTTATTCCATATTATGTTGAAGGCTGGTTTTCACTAAACTGAGCATATTCTCTAGTGAGGATAGCCAAAACATGAAGCGCAACCATAAGCAAACTTACCAAAAATATCAAGGACTTACATTCTTTTTGTGCTTGCATCAGTGTTGCACAACTGAGGACAACCTCTTATGCTGTTTATGTTACAGTATATGTAAGCTCACCAAAGCCTACGGCTCTTGTGTTATGCTTATGCTTGCGTTGCTTCATTGAAAAACATACAGGCTTTAAATAAGCTGGGTTCATCCCGAATGTAGTTTGTTATTGTTTTGCGAACCACATCACCTTCACTATGATCACCTGAGTATACTGGGTCAACAAGGTGTCGGTTTTGATCTTCATTTCTTTTATACAAATCCATTTGGCATCTAAGAAGATCTTCATCAACATAAGATTTGTTAATTTCGCAATAATTGTGCACGACACAACATGCATATACAACAACTGGAACTGATTCAATCTTTAAGTCAACTTTTTTTGTAAGAACTGACCACCTTGCTTTCAGTCCCCAAACGAAAATTTCCTATAGGAATTTTTCCTATAGGAAAAATTCCTATAGGAATTTTTTCTACAGGAATTCCTATAAGAATTTAATAGGAAGAATTCCTATAAGAATTCTCAAGTCTAGTCCCAAATTATTATAGGAATTTGCTATAAGAAAATAATTTATTCTAATTTCCTATAAGATTTTTGGTATTCCTGCAGAAATTCTAGAATCTAGATGAAATAATAGTAAATGACAGACAATGTTGTTCATCACTCTTAATTTTTTAATGCAAAAAATAGATATAAATATTAATAAATACTAATTAATATTGCAAATATAAAAATTCATATGAGAAATTGGTTATACTAAACATTACAAATCAATTATAGT